AAGAACCTGTCAGCTGTAGTATAATTCTTCTTGCTTGGGACCGGCTAAACCCGGTGTTTTTTTCACAGACTTGCTTTTGTATTGGTTTTCTTGAGTACTTTTGAAAAATGTTTGCAGATGGCATGTTTAGAACTGCTGGACTAGAGGCTCTCCCAGCCCGGAAAGCCACCGGTGTCCTGGGCTGCGTCCCCGGCGGCGTGGCCAGCAGGGCGAGGGAGGGGATTCTGCCCCTCTGCTCCGCTCTGGGGACGCTCCCCGTGGAGTTCTGTGTCTAATTCTGGGGCCCCCAACTTCGTAAGGACCTGTTGGAGCAGGGTCAGTGGAGGCCACAGAGATGCTGCGGGGGCTGGAGCCCCTCTGCTGGGAGGAGAGGCTGGGAGAGTTGGGGGGGTTCAGCCTGGAGAAGAGAAGGCTGCGGGGAGACCTCAGAGCCCCTTCCAGTGCCTAAAGGGGGCTATAGAAAAGCTGGGGAGGGACTCTTGATCAGGTAGGGGAGCCATAGGATGAAGGGGAACAGTTTTAAACTAAAAGAGGGGAGATTTAGATTCTAGATATTAGGAATTCTTCCCTGTGCGGGTGGTGAGCCCCTGGGGCAGGTTGCCCCGAGAAGCTGTGGCTGCCCCATCCCTGGAGGTGTTCAAGGCCAGGTTGGACGGGGCTTGGAGCAACCTGGGCTGGGGGGAGGTGGCCCTGCCCAGGGCAGGGGGTGGGACTGGATGGCCTTTAAAGGTCCCTTCCAACTCTAACCATTCTGTGAACCTATGATTTGTCTCATGTTTGTTCTTTTTCCTGAAATACATTCTGAGCTTGTAATAGTGCCTGAGAGAGAGGCTGAAGAGACTACAGCTCTCTGATACGTTGCTAAGTGCTCTCTCACAGGGATACCATCCAGGGCACCTGGATCGGATGGTGTGATTTTCTTTTTGGAAATGCCTCTAAACAGCAGATATAGCCTAGATAACTGGCTTAGATGCAGGGTATAGGCATGCTATCAAAGGTATTAAATGCTTTCTCAATTGTTTTGTGCTTTTTAATGTAATTATTAAATGTCTAGTAAATAAGTAAAACTGTGTATTAAAAACCTGTAGTCAGTGTAGTCTCTGCTCAGTTGTGAGAGACTCAAAAGATTCTGGTAACATACTGACTGCTGCTTTCCTTACTGAAGCTTTTTTTTTCTCCTGAGTTTTGTTTGCTTTTTGATGTATCCCTTGCTAAACTATGTAAACTTTATGCTTGTGCTTAGAACTTGCTGATGTTCTTTTGCTGCTAATATCTAACATGCTGAAACAAACCAGAAAAATTAATTAGCTGCTTACCAGGATTTATATTTATCTCAGAAATTAACCACTGAGGATTTCTAGTGTTGAAAAAGTCACTAGCTGGAAGAGCTAGACAATTACTATGTTGTAGCCTTTGTTTTCTACAGATTTTAATTAAGTCCATAATCAACATCCAGAGCAGAAATTGCTCCTGGCGAAAGGTAAATTTGTAAAAGTAAACTTGCTTCCTTTCTTTTCTTTAGGACGGCCTTGGCAAGGTTTCGGCAAGCTCAGCTCGAGGAAGGAAAGGTTAAGGTATGATGTGAAAAAACTAAAGCTTTGTTAGCTCTAATCAGGCGTGGAATGCAAGCCAGGTCCAGAGCTGCGTGACAGCTGTTAGAAAGTCATATGCCACATACAGGTATCCTATAGGAGTGTGGCATTAGTTGTCTGGAAAGCAGCTGAAGTAGGGACTGTATTTCACAGCGATGCAAAACAGAAGGGGCAAAGAGAATTTCCTTAACTAAACAACCCATTTAAAAATTTATGTATGTCTATAGAATGTCTTCTGCCGAGAAGAATATGAAATTTAACATCACTTATTTTTTTTATGTAACATAGGCAGAATATATAGTAGTTAAAAAAAAAAAACAAACCCTGAACAATCAAAACCAAACAAAACCGAACAGTCAAAACCAAATGACAATAATGCTTTAAATAGAGGCAGTGTGCTGGACAGAAAGTGAAAAATTACTTTTGAGACTGAAGTTTCTGCAACTACTTACACAAATGGGTTCACACACACTTATTTTTACTGAGAGTAATCACAAGGTTTGTTTGGATTTCTTCCCAGAAGAGGTAGAGAAATCCTCATAATCTTGTTCGTTAATGTATTTTGACAAAACAGTACCCATGAAACAGTCTTCAGAATCACTGAACTCGAGGCTTGCATGAGACGTAACGTTGGCATGTTATTAACCCAACACATGATAGCTGTGGATCTCGTAATTGTCTTCACTGTTGTGCAGCTGTGTTTTTTTGATTGGTGTAAGACTGAAAAAGAAAAAGGACTTAGCAACTTCATAATTTAAAAAACCTCACCACTATAGTGAGAGAAATATCATCCTAAACCCACACAGAACCTTAAAGACTGATTCTCAGCTATCTCTGGATATTCCTGTACATTTTTCACTGAATCATAACTCAAATTGCGATAGTATTTATGTGGGGGTCAGAGTGTTCTCAATAATGTTTTTTTCTACAGGTTTATAATTTTTAATTTTGGGTAACTGACAAAGGAATTCTGGAAAGTAACTGAGGTGTCCTATGTTTGCACGTTAAGAAATGATGTTTTACACACGAGTGTGAGCAATATGAAACAGTAAAGTGGAAAATAACAGTTTGGGGAAACTGTAGTGGGAAAGATTCCATGAACAGCAGCCAGAGAAGAAGATGGAATAGAGTTCCGGTATATTATGTGTAGGAAGGCTTTTTAATATAGAAAAGGCTGAGCTGTGAAAGTACTGTGGTGAAGGATTCCTCCACAGAGTCATAGAGGTCAGATGAAATGCTAGTTTGTGTAAGCAAGTCAACGGAAGGAAGAAGGTTGGGAAGATGATGTTTTGGATAAACTGTCATTGAGAGAGTTCAAAACAAAATAATCTTGGAAAAAAGTTACATGATTTAGGTGGTAGGAATTGAGAAAGAAAGGCCTAAACTTAATAGCTACTTGGAAAACAGTGGATTTTATTTAGGTGCTAGTAAACGGCAATGATGTACTTCAGCTGCCCTAAATGGAACATTATTTGTATTGGAGAGGATTGTGGGGTGCTTTGAAAAAAACAGGTGACAGATTTTGTTTTGAACAAAGTGGATTTAAATAGGTTTTTATATTCTGTGATATATTCTGCCCTGCCAAATTAAGCTATCATTGTTTTCCACTTACTAAAAATTAGTGGGAGCAGAAGGCACTGGAGCTTGGTAGCATAGTTTAGGATTAATCAAGTAACAAAGTTTGCATGAAATGCTGTGAACATATTGATGCTAGGTTAAAACGTCGTGGTGTGTGGCTTTCTGTCAAACAGGAACGAAGACCTTTCCTTGCATCAGAGTGTAATGAATTGCCTAAAGCTGAGAAATGGAGACGTCAGGTAATGTCAAGCTATAGATTTCACTAATTCTATAGTAAGTAGAACTTTAGCATTTCTTATTTAGACAGCTTGCTTACAGATTTGTAAATAGTGAACTCTGTTGTGGCCTAAAGGCTTCAGCACATCTAGCTACTCACACCAAGTGAAGCTGGGCAAACAGCATCAATTACACCATATTATAACCCTTAGCAATTTATTCGAATTAAAATTTACTTATTTAAGCTAAACAACTAATATCTGTCGTTCACCATGGTGTTCAAACATGTCCTATCACATCCAGTTGCTCAGGGCCATGTCCAACTGATTTTTTTAATATCTTCGGGGATTTGGATTCCACGGCTTTTTGGGGCCCCTGTTCCAGTGTTTGATTACCTTTTTAATGATTTTCGCTCCCCCCCTGCCCTTGAATTTAGTCAGAATTTCCCTCATTCCAGGTGGTGTTTGTTGCTACTTGTCCCTTTGTCGTGCGCCTCTCACAGTCTGGCTCTGTCTTCTCTGCACCCTCCACTAGGCAGTTGAAGGCAGCAATAGGTTATGCCCTTTTTGTCTTCTCTTACGGTAGATCAAACACAGTTTTCTCTCCGCCTTTCTCTGTACTTCACACGCTCCTGCCTTCCTCACATTTACCGCTGTAAAAACGTTTCCTTGGGTTTTAAGCTTCTGAGGTACTATATTTGTGTCTGAATAAAATCTGTGTTGATATTTGAAATTGATAGGCTCAGGTCCATCTTCTAGATCAAAAAGCCAACTTAGAAGTCGGGCCTTTCTAGGGGTTGTTTTAGCCTTTTTTTTGAGAAATTTACTTCTGTGTTCTTACTTGCCTAGATCATTGGGGAAATTTCCAAGAAAGTGGCACAGATTCAAAATGGTAAGATTTTTCTAATTATGTTTTATTTTTTTTTAATCTCCAGTCCTAGGCAGTTACAGTAGAAATCACATTTCTTGTGAACTATACCGTTTCCATTGCATAAATTCTGAAATTACTCTGGTGCTTCTAGTAAGGTGTTTAATTTATTGCCTTTTTTCCCCCTCTAACAGCTGGATTAGGTGAATTCAGAATTCGGGACCTGAATGATGAAATAAACAAACTTCTGAGGGAGAAGGGACACTGGGAATTCAGAATAAAGGAGCTAGGAGGGCCTGATTATGCTGTAAGTCTGGATTGTTTTGTACTACATGGTTCTCTTGCTTACAAGTAAATTGATTAATAAGGAAAATCTGTGCAATGTTTAGTTAACCACATATTACTTGGCCAACATTTATTAGAGAGGAACTTTATTCAGCCCCTAAAAAAGTTAGGTTGCGTTAGAAGAAATACTTGTTTCCATGATGAGCAAATCAGACTTTCTAATTGGGAACACCGGTTCAAGGGGTCTTACCTTCCTGATAAGAGTTTGCAGCAATGGTCTGACCCATCAGTAGGTGTAGGTTTTCCGTACTGTGCTCTCTTGGTACGTAGAAGCGTTTTCCCTTGGCTCACCTCGTTGCTGCTGAAAATGAAATAATGAGACTAGCTCTCGAATGCATGCTTATCGTCAGATTTAGTAGTGCTTGTTTGCTGATACCTGAATGCACTAGTACAGAGAATGACAGTTTTGGGTGTTTTGTCAAGGTGAATCGGGCATGGGCACCCTATGGTTTGCATGGTTGTTTTAACTGTGCTTTGTAGTAAAAGTAGAGACGTATATAGAAAAGAGCTATAGGGGCATTTTACTTGTGCGGTTGTTTGACCTGGTATAACGTAATCTCCTTTCTCAATCCTTTAATCTAGTAAGAAATACGACTTAATACTACTCAATACTTTAGTCTAGTAGGAAATACAAGATGCAAGAGGAATAAAATTTTAAACAATTAATTCTGTTTATTTTCCAGCGGATTGGACCAAAAATGTTAGATCATGAAGGGAAAGAAGTTCCTGGAAACAGAGGTTACAAATATTTTGGAGCTGCAAAGGATTTACCAGGAGTTAGAGAACTCTTTGAAAAGGAGCGTAAGTAAACAGCAACTCTTCCCAGACATGAATCTGCTGAGTAGTATCTCTTGAGCAAAAAGTCTACTGAAGTACATGGGGAATGCGAGTAACAGCAAATCCTGGCCTGTGCCTTAGATTGGCTACATGAATTGCTGAACACCAGTAATTAATTAAATGCTATTTCTCTGGGCAAAGAATGCCTTTGGCTGTTTGTGATTTAATTAAAGAAATACAAAAGAGTAAACTCTTTTCTGCTGGGAGTTCAAAATAGCAAGGACAAACGTTCCATAGAAACCTTCCAGCGTAGCAGGTTAACTTCATTGATAAGTCCTAAATTGTACTCTGAGTTCAGAATTAAAAAAAAAAGTTGGCTTGAACATAACTCTAGAAGCAGGAATCAGCTTTCATAATAGGAAAAACTAGATGTAAGTGCATAAAACTTTATATTTTGATTTGTCATAGAACGAGTGGGAATTACTTGGCCCTGAAAATGGGGCAGGCCTGCTGAATCGGCTCCTTTTTGGCACCTGCAAGGAAAAATTATGGGAAGTACTGCATGATCTGGGGGAGCTTGATGGTTTTTTTAGTTCCTTTCATATAGTAGTCTTGCTCAATACTGGGACTGCAGCACAGGGCGAAAAGCAACCACATCCATGACAGTGTAGAATTGCCACAGGGTGGGAACTGTGCAATGTGAAGCATCCGGTCATGTATTCGAACAGCATTGTGCAGGCCAGAGTAGAATTCCAGTACGTCTGATGTTGACAGCGGATCAGATCA